AGCAGAATAGAGTGGCACTATTACTTCTCTTGAACTAGACACTATACTAATAGGGAGGAGACACAGAAAACCAGCTGAAAATGTGGGGAGAGTGGAGAATTAATCAAGACCTTGATAAACTTGGACAGGTGGAAGCTACGATATTCATCTGGTCCATTAGCAAGTTGGATATCTCTGGGCCCCAGCACTGCCCTGCTTATAAAATAAAACTCAGTTTGAATGCAGCCACAACTTGATGTTTTTTTAAATTGCAAGGTTGTTTGTTTGCTTTTTAACCACCACATCTCTGAGTCAGTGTTCACTTTTCAAATACACGTGTCAATTAGTTGTCTGTGACTAGGTCTTTGTCCACTTCTGCTGAAAGATATTAAGAGGTGTGTGTTAGAATCTCTGATCATTGCACTCATGTGCCCATTTATATTTACAACAGTATATTCAGGTCATCTCACCAAATTACTCATGGGAAACACCAGCCAATAGATTTGATCTTCTCAGCCACCATTTTGCATCTAGCTATGCCCCTTACAGTTATTCTAAATTTGGTCCCAGCTTGAGTTCCTGCAAATCTGAAGTTTGTCCTCTTCTGATTTCATTTTTTTCCATTTTAAGAAAACTGATTCCTGAAAAACTGGAAAAAAATCTCAAATTGCTACACACAAGTAAAAACTATAGGAGTACTCAAAGGAGACTTGATGCACTAGATCAGGGGTAGGCAACTTTAAGGGCCGAGGGACTTCAGCTCCCAGAAGCCTAAGCCATGTTGGCCAATAGTCCCATGTTGGCCAATAGCTCCTGGGATTCTGGGAGCTGAAGTCCCTCAGCCCTTAAAGGGGAAAGGTTGCCTACCCCTGCACTAGATGTTCTTTAATGAGATCACAGCATGATAACAATTTCTTGTCAAGTCATAGAAATGATGACATTGCACCACACAACACAGACATGATTTGATGTATTGCCATGTTGAAGCTGTCATTTTATCATAAACATTGTGCATATTGCATTCCAAAAAGCAACATGTCTTGATGAAAGACATTGATTTATATAATAATTATAAAATATAATCTTCCATGGAATGCTTAGAATAGTTTTCCTCCACCAAATACACTTGCCATCTTATGAAAGGACATACTGGAATACTCTACTTTACTTTAAAATTTATCTGATTTACTTTTCTACTGATCACTATATTCTAAC